ATTTGAGAATGTTATTGAATGGATTCCATATAATAGACTAGATAATATAAAAGAAATTGGCAGAGGAGGGTTTGGTACAGTATATGTTTCACTTTGGTTAAATGGTAAACGAATGGTCGAAGGAGATAATAATTTGGGTTATGTGCGATATCGTAAAAAAACCCATGAAGTTGCTCTTAAGACGTTGCCTGGTTCTCAAACAAGTTCTTCCGAGTTTTTAAAAGAGGTAAGCCAAAATTATCTACTTACCGTATTTTGGTGTAATAGCGCTATTTGCTGATGCGTATGCACGATATTTGAATCACCTTTGATAATTTTTGTGTGTAAAGTTATATATATTTGAGGTGCGTTATGCGTTACAGTATTTAGGATGCACGTAGGAGTTATTTTATGTCAAATGTATTTTTTCAAATAGTAATAACATTATTACACGCAAAATACAGTAATAATAAATCTACAGGATATAATCTTACAGAAACTTATTCGTATATTCTTTCAAGTTTAAAAATCATATGAAATGTAGGTTAGAGGGTAGTGCACTTGAAGTATACGGATTGACTCAGAATACAGAGAATGGTCAATACATGATGGTATATCAATATGCCAATAGAGGGAATCTTCAAGATTTTTTGATGAAAAATTTTAGAGAACTTACATGGAAAAAATATAAATTACGGTTACTTGCGGATATATCTTATAATTTGTCTCGAATTCATAGTATGGGACTTATTCATAATGACTTTCACAGTGGTAATATTTTACTAAACCAATATATCAATGGAAATATAATTTCATACATTACGGATCTGGGATTATCTAGAAAACATGATTCAGAAGATTCAGAAGGCGGCATTCGTGGAGTTATGCCTTATATTGCTCCTGAAGTTTTATCAGGCAATAAGCAGTTTACACAAGCAGCAGATATTTATGGATTCGGTATTATTATGTCAGAAGTATCAACCGGAAAAAGGCCTTTTAATGATTATCAATTTAATACTGAACTTGCACTAAGTATTTGCAATGGATTACGTCCTGAATTTGCACATGGAACTCCTGAATGTTATATTGAATTAGCTAAGATATGCATGGATCCTGATCCACAAAAACGGCCATCATCTGCTGAAGTTGTCCATAATATTAAATGGTGGATTGAAATTATGGAAGGATTAGACGATGGTGAAATTAAAAAACAGTTTTGGGATGCAGATAATATAATTAAACGTACGCGTTTGTCAACTAATTCACTAAGTCATCCGGCCCATAAGTATACTTCCAAAATTATTGATACACGAGTAATAGCGGGTGGACTTAAAGGTAAATTATTTAATTAATGTATTATGCAGTATTATTTAATACTAAAAAATGCTATAATTTTCTATATAGGTTATGGAAAATGCAAAAGTTGTAATCAAAATAACACAAGCGAAGCATGGTGCCAAACATGTGATCCCAATATGGAAACTCAAGGGTGGACAAGTGGAAATGATAATGTTGATAATTGCATTAAAGAATTTCAACTTAAGGGCTTAGCGTATACGAAAGTAATTGAATGGATTCCATTTAATTGACTAAAAAATATTCGAAAAATTGCTGAAGGAGGATTTAGTTCTGTATATTTTGCAACCTGGTTGGATGGCATACGAAAAATTGATTATGTTAATGAGCGTTATGTGAGGGTACGTGAACCATCTAGTGAAGTTGCACTTAAAACATTGCCTTGTTTTGAGGAAAATCCTTTCAGCTTGAAAGAAGTAAGTGAATCTATAATTATTGAAATTAGTTAATGCTGAAATTTTGAGATCTCTATTCGAACTCATAATGTGATAAAATCCACTTATACTTTCATATTAACAACCCAATCCAAAATTTGATCTAATCTAAAAAAAAAAACAAAAGCCGAGCAAATGTTTCAAATTTTTTTATTATATGTGTTGTCTAATTAAAAGGGCCCATTTTGACATTTTTTCAAAAATTTTATATTTGATTTTTGAATGGATCTAAATTCGATAAAAAATTTGCTATAAGTCACAAGAGCTAATTATATAATAAAAGATTCACAATGTGAACTTTAGTAGAAATTTCATATATGTTTGCTATTTATAGATCATCATGTAAATTCGATTTACTCAAAATTTGTTTATACGTAAAAATGGGACCTTTTAATGCGTGGCATCCATATAATCAATTTCAGCATTAACAATTAACTAATTCATTAATTTGAATTTACAAGTTCATCAATCATATGAAATGCGGTTTAGAAAGCATCAAACTTAAGGTTTATGGTCTAACTCGAAATATAGAAACTAAAGAATGTATGATGGTTGCTCAGTATGCCGATAAGGGAAATCTTCATGAATTTTTAAAGTCAGAATTTAAGAAACTTACATGGCAGACTAAATTAAAACTACTTGTCGATATTTCGGAAGAATTACGCGGCATTCATCATGTAGGATATATTCATAGAGACCTTCACAGTGGAAATATTTTATTGGATGAAAGTATGCGATCTTATATATCAGATCTAGGACTATCTATAAAGGAGGATGAAAATGTATCAAAAGGCATTATTTATGGAGTTATGCCCTATGTTGCATCTGAAGTTTTATCAGGTAAACAACAGTTTACACAAAAAGCGGATATTTACAGCTTTGGTATTATTATGACAGAAATGTCGACTGGGCGAAGACCATTTGATGAATATGAGCTTGATGATAATCTTGCGATGAAGATTTGCATTGGATTACGCCCAAAATTCGCAGACGGAACTCCTAATTGCTATATCGATTTGGCAGAGCGATGTACCAATTCAAAACCACATTTACGACCTACTGCTTCCAATCTTTATAATGAAATTAAAGATTGGTATAATAAAATAAAAGGTTCAGATTACATAAACGAAGTTATAAAACGTAGATTTAAATATGAGCTTAATAAAATAAAAGGCTTATATAAAATAGATGAAATTAAAAAACAAATTAAATCTTGGCTTAATGAGATAAAAGGCTCAGATGATTTAAACGAAGTTCAAAAACAAATTAATTATTGGCTTGATAAAATAAACGGACCAGATGACATAGACAATATTAAAGAACAAATTAATGATTGGCGTGATGATAAAATAAAAGGGTCAAACGACTTAGACGAAGTTATAACCCAGTTTTTGGAATCTGATAAAATAATTAGTGATAATTCGCAAAAACATTCAGACCACATGTATACAAGTAAGGTCATTTACACGCGACAAATTTCTAAATTATTAGGAAGTAAACCTTTTGAATGTGTAGATATTCCTCAAGACCCTCAAGACAGTAAACAGATTAAATTGGAGATTTGAGTGGTGGAAAGAGAAATTTGTAAGTCGATCACTGATTTTCACCGTAGCTGCCAATGTAACAGATGTAATAGTGAGATTATATTGATCTATTACGTGAATGTCTAGTCGCTTCGATGATATGAGTTGCTTTAGTTATGAGAACGAGTTTTTACATAACGCACTAAAAATATTTGAACACATCATTATCAAGGACACAAATTTAAAAGTAAAATTCTTAATCAATAAACCTAAATTTATTAAAAAAACGCCAAATTTTGAGATTTATACTCAAATCTGATTGGCTAATTTCGTGTACCAAAATTCTGATTGATCAAAATCTATATAAACAGATTTTTTTTATATATTAAACGCCAAATAACCTTTTAAATTTATAATAAAATAAAATGTATTTTGACAGAATTGTAGCTTAGACTAAAAGCAACAAACCTGTAAGACAGATTTTTTTAAAAATTATTTGTTTGTAAGTTATAAGCATTTTTATATTTTATATATAAAATTGGATATTTTTTGTTGACCCGCACTGTATAAATTTTAATTTATAAAAATAATACGACAGGGCGAGGCCCGCGTGCTGCTAATTTTATGTAAAATCCGAAATGGATATGTAAAACCAGATATTGATAACGATCAAAATAATGAATTTTTTAAAATTTGAGCAAAGATACCTCAACAACCACCTGACAAATTCGATAATTTTTTTTTTTTGTTTGAATTCTAGATTCATAGAATGCAAATAAAAAAAATTTCATCGAATTTATCAGGTGGTTGTCGAGATATCTTTGCTCAGTTTTTAAAATCACAAACGTCTATAAAATAGAAGCTGCGCCAAATTTTTTTCTAAGACTTTGAGCAAGATATCTCGATAACAACCTGACCAAATCGATGTAAAATTTTTATTTGAATTCTATGGATTCACAGAATGTAAAAAAAAAAAAAAATTACATCGAATTTGGTCAGGTGATTGTCGACACAAATTTTAGAAAAATTATTTATTTTGATTGCGGGTTTTACCATATCCATATGGTTATGGCACGATTCCTTGAAAGTTATTTACCTACCAACTCATTTCCCTGACATCGTAATGCCGAAATGGCATTTCATCTACAGCACATTTTTTTTGATAAGACATATGTTTGACATTACATTTTTTTGACAATCCTTTTCTTAGACAATGACAGTAATTTCCCAACATATAATTCTAATCAACACTTAAACTCTAAATCAGGCCAAATCGAGTTAATTTTTATATTGAAGAAATGATTGTCGGGGAAATGTCTTATCTAAGTAAAGTTTTGTCGAATATATGCCTTATCGAAAAGAACATGCTGAAGATGAAATAGCATGTTGTCATTGTAGTGTCGGAGAAATGAGTTGGCGAGTAAATAACTTTCGGGGAATCGAGAGACAACCATCCATATAGGGTATTGCATATTCATCTCAGGTTTTACATAATTTAACTGATCAACGCGGATTTTACATAAAATAACCAATCAACGCGGATTTTAATAGCAGGTTTCACCTTCGTAATATAATTACTTTGAGATTTGAGCATTATTAATAAGTAAATGCATTTTAAAATAAATAACGAGAAATAAGAAACAGCGTTGACAAAATATGGTACGGGCAATATTTACCATCGGACATAGATATTTATGGACTATGCCTATTTTCCTATTGGACATTATACACTTAGTCTAAATCAAATCTGGGAACTTGATATTCCAAAAAATTCCGAAAAGAACTGGCCAAATTTAGAGTAAATTCCCGAAACATCCCAAAATATTCGACAAGGAGATGAAGACATGGACACTATTTAGATTAGTCCAATGTTCAATTGAAATAAAATTTTTATTAGACATAGTCCAAATTCCAACACTGATAAGAAATAAACAAGAAATTGTAAGTCATATATGTATATAATAATACAATTACATAATACGGTAACTATCGTTATTAAAATTTGTAAGATGAAATTGTAGCAATTAATATAGGGTTTTGTCATTCATTTTAGGACTCAGCGCTTCTTTCGGATTACTTTCGGCACGTACTGACAGATCTGGAATGAATGTATTCCTGAGAATTCACTTAACCGGCATCACCTAGGGTTAGGGTTAGTGTTTTATTAATTGCAGGTATACGTTTTATATATATATAGTAATTGTTACTTGACGTGATGTCGGTTAAGTGAGCCGTTGATGAAATGATTGTCGCTGATCGATTTGCAACAGATCCTAAATGAATGCGTCACGAGCTACGTAATATACAGATAGTCTGATAATCACATGCAAAATTTAAACCCGTACTGAAACAAGTTTAATGCTCACCTGACCTTACACGTACGTTATGAGTTGGAGCAACTTAATATTAATGCAAAAATCTTGTAAAATAAAACTACTTTTTACATTTAAATCATTTGAGTACGGGTTTGAATTTTAATTTTTTCTTATTAAAAAAAAAATCAAAAAAAAAAAATGAAAAAGATTTATAATAATTTATTTGAAAATAGAAAATCAATTAAGTCAGAACTTTATAACTTTGGATCCAATTATCTTTATGGGATAGGGGTAGAAAAAGATGAATTTAAAGCATTCTATTATTATCAAAAATCCGCAGAAATAGGAGATGCTAGAGGAACTTTTCAAATTGGATATTGTTATTCTGAAGGAATTGGTGTCGAAAAGGATGATCGTAAAGCATTCACTTATTATCAAAAATCTGCAGAGTTGGAACATGCTAAAGGAACATTCATGCTTGGTATTTGTTATTATATAGGGTTAGGAGTTGAAAAGGATGATCAAAAGGCATACAATTATTATCAAAAATCTGCAAATATGGACGATTATGATGGAACATTTGGGGTTGGAGTTTGTTATGAACAAGGGATTGGAGTTGAAAAGGACGAACAAAAAGCATTCATTCATTATCAGAAATCTGCAGAGATGGGAAATGCTTTGGGAGCATATAATGTTGGATATTGTTATCAAAATGGAATCGGAGTTGAAAAGGATGAACAAAAGGAATTCGAGTATTATCGAAAATCTGCTGATATGGGACACACTAAAGGAACGTTTATGGTTGGACGTTGTTATAGAAATGGAATTGGAGTTGAAAAGAATGAGAATAAGGCATTTATTTATTATCTAAGGTCTGCAAAGATGGGTCACGCTAAAGGAACATTTATGGTTGGACGTTGTTATCGAAATGGAATTGGTGTTGAAAAAGACGAAAATAAGGCGTTCATTTATTATCATAAATCTGCAGAGATGGGGGACATTGATGGAACATATAATGTTGGATATTGCTATCAAAATGGAATTGGAGTTGAAAAGAATGAGCGTAAAGCATCAATATATTATAAAAAATCTGCAAATGTGGGAAATGTTAGCGGAACATATAATGTTGGATGTTGTTATTTTGATGGAATTGGGGTTGAAAAGAATGAACAAAAGGCATTCATTTATTTTCAAAAATCTGCAGAGATGGGACACGTTAATGGAACATGTAATGTTGGATATTGTTATCAAAATGGAGTTGGAGTTGAAAAGGATGAATATAAAGCATTTACTTATTATCTAAAATCTGCAGAAATTGGGAATGCTTTTGGAGCTTGTAATGTTGGACATTGTTATCGTAAAGGAATTGGAGTTGAAAAGGATGAATATAAGGCATTCAGTTATTATCAAAAATCTTCAGAAATGGGATCTTTTTGTGGAACATTTCAAATTGGATATTGTTATCAAAATGGAATTGGAGTTGAAAAGGATGAGCATATGGCATTCACTTATTATGAAAAATCTGCTGACATGGGTTATGTTGATGGAACATATAATGTTGGTTATTGTTATCAAAATGGAATTGGGGTTGAAAAGGATAAATATAAAGCATTTATTTATTATCAAAAATCTGCAGAGTTAGGGGATGATTTGGGGACATGTAATGTTGGACATTGTTATTTTAAAGGAATTGGAGTTGAAAAGGATGAACATAAAGCATTTATTTATTATCAAAAGTCTGCTAATATGGGAAATAGTCAAGCAATGAATGAACTCGGATATTGTTATTATGAAGGAATTGGAGTTGAAAAGGATGAACATAAGGCATTCAGTTATTGTCAAAAATCTGTGGAGATGGGAGATGCTTTGGGAACATATAATGTTGGTTATTGTTATCGGAATGGAATTGGAGTTGAAAAGGATGAACAGAAGGCATTCCTTCATTTTCTAAAATCTGCAGAGTTGGGGAACGCTGATGGAACATATAATGTTGGATATTTTTATCAAAATGGAATTGGAATTGATAAAGATGAACACAAAGCATTCATTTATTATCAAAAATCTGTAGAGATGGGAAATGTTAATGGAACGTTTGCGCTTGGCAACTGTTATAAAGATGGAATTGGAGTTGAAAAGGATGAACATAAGGCTTTCTTTTATTATCAAAAATGTTCGGAGATAGAGAATGTTAATGGAATGGGATTGATTGTTTCAATTTTTACTCTTGGGGAATGTTATAAAAATGGAATCGGTGTCGAAAAAGATTTGAAAAAAGCTTTTGAATTGTACTTGAAATCTGCCAAGCTTGGTCTAGCTGATGGTATGAAGAAAGTTGGGTATTGTTATCGAAATGGTATAGGAATAAAAAAAAATTTAAAAGAGGCTGAATATTGGTTTCGAATGTAAGTTTTTATTTTTTAAAAAAATATATATATTTGTATAAATACTAATAAATTATTATTAATTATAGGGAGAAAAATAAACTTCAAGGTATTTTTTTAGCTTTGTTTTGTTTTGCCAAACTTATATTTATTAATTTAATAATAATAATAAATAGAAATAAAGAAATTTGCTTATTTTGATATCGATGACAATTTAAAAAAAATATTGGATGACGAGAGATATCAATTACTGTGGATTCCATATAATAAATTTGAAGAGATTGAAGAGATTGGGAAGGGAGGATTTACGACGGTTTATCATGCAAAATGTCTAAATGAATCTAAGAATTCTTCTGATAAATATTCGTTTGCAATAAAAAAATTTCATGATCAAGATTTTTTTAACGAGGTAATGTTATTATGATTGATTA